ACATGTCACTGAGGAAGAATCCTCGGGACCTTCTTTACATTGAGATGCCAATAAACGCAGGCACGTGCAAGGCTTGAGCTGTGAAAGCACTCGCGCTGCCTACAGTACCAGGGAAACCAAAAGTATCAAATTCGCACCGAGGTGCATCAAAAGTTGCATCAGCAACACCTAATGGCTCTTGTGGCTGTGTTCGCAACTGTCACTCGCCACTCATCAGCGAATCATCGCCAGCCACGGTGGCCCCAGCCACGACCCCAGCGACGGCCGCCCCAGCCACGGCCCCAGCCACGGCCGCCCCAGCCACGGCCCCAACCACGGCCCCAGCGACGGCCGCCCCAGCCGCGGTGGCCCCAGCGACGGCCGCCCCAGGCAACAAAGGATCTCGCATCTCGACCTGATGTGGCCATCTCCTGTGGCTCCATCTCATCATCATCCCAATCACCCTCCTCACCTTCCCAGGACTCAGGAGGGCCTTCCATGACGTAGCCATAAGGAACCCACTCCCATTCCATTGGCTCTGGGCCTTCCCTCATGGAATCAACCTCCCATTCACCATCTAGTGGCTCCTCCGCATCTTCCTTTGCTGGAACACGAGTGTCATGCGGATCGGCATGATCCTTCCCACTTGGCTTTGCTGGAATCTCCTTTGTCGGAACTCCAACGTCGGCTTCAGCAGGATCTGTCTCGCCCTGCTCTGGAGCCTGACTCTCCGGGGTTTCGGTCTCAACCTCCTTTGCAACTCCAGTGTCGTCTGGGTTCGCTGGCTTCTCTGCTGGATCATTGGCTGGGCTTTCCGCAGCTGTCTCCTGCTTAGAGTCGGCCGGCAGGTCGGGTTCCTTTGCTCCACGAAGTTGCTTCACTGGATCCTGGCTCTGGGCTTGCATGCACGTGAGTGCCAGGACAAGCACAAGAGATGAGAACCTCATGTTAGGAAATGCAGGAAGCGATGAAAGGATCTTGATCCAGGAGATCTTTGAGCCAAAGTTGCTATCTACATTCGAGACCCATGCACGTGTCTACTTTCTCATAGTTCCACATGGTGACATTTGCAATGCTCAGCACTTGCCTCGACCTTGAGCAGCCACAATTCCGTAGGCAGTTGCTGCAGCCTAGCTGCGCATGGAAGGCGGTCAGCATACTTTGCACAGTTCTAGAGGCAATCAACATATTTTGGCACAAGAGATTGTGTTTTGCAACGCTGGAAAAGGTGGTACTGCTTCGATCCTACCTCCACTGCACTCCGCGCAATCACTTTGAAAAGAAGCATGTCAATCGGTGTATGCTGTAAATCGGAGAATGAGCAGGCAAAAGGACACTTCCGTGTACTTTCCAACCCTTGCTTTTGAAGGGAAAGTTTGGCGACCAGCCGTTGTTCTTCCATCATCCCAAAGCAGAATTAGCTCCAGTCTCAACATTGAACCTGCAAAATGCATCAATACGTCCCATCTGAGTGTTGGACACATCAACCACAGGCTGCTTCTCACCGAAGCTCCAAGCTCCTGCACACATTCGAGGAGGAAGGATCAAACTAGCTCAACTAGTTGCAAGCTGATGGTACAAGATGCTCTTCCTGCAGTCATGTCAATAGGTGCAAGTTGTAGAATGCAACAACTGACAATCAACGGACGGAACAGCACTTCCTGCAATTTCAAGCAGGCAGCCCGTGATTAATTGCAAAATATGGCGTAGGCTGCATTTGAGGAGAAAGACCCTGCGTCTCCCCTTGCTCGCTGGCAAGATGAAACAAGAAAAACAAGAAATCCCAGTTCACATATGCCACTTCTCTTTTCTCTGAGCATACATGTCACTGAGGAAGAATCCTCGGGACCTTCTTTACATTGAGATG